TCGATATATTGTGGGCGATTGCCTGTTTAAACAGCCTCCGAAAGAAATGGAACGACATAATACTGTAGCGAAATAAGAGGCTTATAGCACACCAGTGGTATTCTAATACATGTCCTGGAAATACCTGAACTGTTTGAAGATCAAAAGGTTTTTTTGGCAATATTGTTATTTTTGTTAAATTGGTTTATCAGCTGTTTTAGTATCCGAAACCTATGATTTCCAACGCATGAAATTGTTTCTCAGTTTAAAACAATTTATTGATATTCTGAAAAATGGAGGGGAAAATCAGTAAAAGAAAAAGTTGCTGCTTGCCGACGACCTGGTTTTATTGGCATCTTATGAAAGTGATCTCCAATGTTGTTTGGAAAAGTTCGAAGCCGAGTGTGACGTGAGGGCATGAGTGTGGAGGTATCCAAAACGAAATGCCTAGTGTTTTCTCGTTCTTCTGTTAGATGCGCTTTGCGTGCTAGAGAAGAAACAGTGGGACAGCTGGAGAAGTTCAAGCATTGCGTGGCTATGTTTAATGGTGACTGAAAATGGGAGGAAGAGATCGACCGGCGAATTCGAAGGCTAGCAACGTAATACGCGGACCTGCCCGAAACTTTGTGACTAAAGGAGAGGTTAATCTAAAGGTTAAGCTCTGTCTAAGTCGATATTCATCCTTCCTCATGCTCACATATTACCATGAGTTGTGGGTGATGACTGGAAAACTTTGATCAGAGGTAAAATCGGCTAGAATGAGATTTCTGGGTAGAATTGCTGGATTCATGCGTCACGACATGATCCGAGGTACAGGTATCCCAGAGAGCTTCAATGTTCAGCATCCTGTTTCTCCAGATAAAGTAGGTACAGCTGTGACGGTTTTGGCACATGTTTGGAATTCTTTCAAAGGAAACAGCTAAACGGATTAGCCCAAGACCCGGAGGACGGTCAAGAATGACAGATTGCAAGTATTTTGAACGACTCTGGTCCAAATTCATAGCTGGGACAGGATCGAGAACGTTGGAAGCACTGTCTCTCGCGTTTGCCTCCGTGACTCGAGAACGTGAGCGGTCATCGAATCTGACTGAATGACTTACGGGAAGGCCATGATGAAGTTATCAAACGTGTCAACTTTTACCTCCGTGTAATTTTAGTTCACTTGTTAAACTCATCAACCTGGTACCGAACCCAATCGGCGGATAAGCAAGGCTGTCGAAACGTCAGC